CAGGGCGCAGGACACCTGGTCATGGGCTCTGCTGCCACCCTGGGCCCCGGCGGGACAGCCAGGGGAAGGGAGCCCGGCGGAGCGGGGCATGTGGCAGCCCAGGTGCAGAGTGTGGATGGCAACGCCCAGTGTTGCGACTGCCGGGAACCAGCGCCTGAGTGGGCTAGCATCAACCTTGGTGTCACCCTCTGCATTGAGTGCTCCGGCATCCACAGGTCACTTCCCACAGCCCCACGCCAGGCCCATTCCTCCTGGCTGCTGGCCCATCGCACGGCTCTCCTTTCCGCCTGCCCTGGCGCCCTCTCAGATTCTGGCTGTCCCTGGGCACACGCCTGGGCTGAGCCTGTGGGGCACCAGGCGGATGCAGGGGGCCCAGCCTCCCAGTCTAGCCGGCGATAGGGGACCCACAGTAGTTTATTGGTTTGACTGGAGGAGGTGGGGTCAGGACTGCTGAGGATGGGTGAGCCACTGAAGAGCAGAGAGACAAGAGGTTGTGAGGCCTTAGCAAGTCTATGCAGCCCTCACCCGAGTCAGTCTGGTAGAAGAATGGCAAGAATGGCTGTCCAGGCCAAAGCACCAGAGTGAAGGGAGGTGACAGAGAGGAGGAGGCTCTGAAAATGAAATGCAGAAGTGAGAAGAGGGGATGTGAACAGGCAGGACCCTGCCAGATGCCGGTCAAGCTACAGGGCCCCAGCTGCCCTGTGCCTCCTGGCCAGGGCCTCTCATGGCCCCCCAGGCAAGAGCTTGTCTCCAAGTCTTAGGATCAGCAGCTGCTCCCACGGCTGCTGCCTCACATCGGGCCTGACTCCCACTCTGGCCCCCCAGGAGCCTGGGAGTTCACTTCTCCAAAGTCCGGTCTCTGACACTGGACTCATGGGAGCCGGAACTAGTGAAGGTGATTTGGGGTGTTGTGAAGAGAGGGGAGGTCGGATGGGTTGCGGACAGGGCTGTGGAGCCCGAGGGCTCAGACTCTGCCCCCTCCCTACCTGCCTGCCTGCCTCCGCCTTGGCACCTGAAGCTTATGTGCGAGCTGGGAAACGTAGTCATCAACCAGATCTACGAGGCCCGCGTGGAGGCCATGGCAGTGAAGAAGCCGGGGCCCAGCTGCTCCCGGTGAGGCTGGCGGGAGGGGCGGGCTGCCCTCTCGGGGGGGGGGGGGGGCTGGGATGGGAGGGGGAACACTGCCTCCTTCTCCTCCTCACCCCTGCAGGCAGGAGAAAGAGGCCTGGATTCACGCCAAATACGTGGAGAAGAAGTTCCTGACCAAGCTTCCTGAGATTCGGGGGCGAAGAGGCGGCCGGGGGCCTCCGAGGGGGCAGCCTCCTGTGCCCCCAAAGCCTCCCATCAAGCCCCAGCCAGGGAGCTTCAGGTCCAAGCCAGGTAGAGGGTCGGTCGGGCATTCACTGGGCACCTGCTGTGTGCTCAGCGCTGTGCCACCCCTGGTGGGGAGGTTCAGAGTGGGAGGCCAGGCCTTCCCTTTGAGAACGCTGAGGAGCCAGGCGCATCGGCCCCGGTTGTAGAAGGTGAGAGGCCGGGGTTACAGTGAAGAACAGGAAGGAGCATGGGGCTGGGAGTGGGCAGGGGGGCGATGTAAGGTGTCAACACGTGAGAAAAGTCAGCGGCGAGAATGAGCTGGGTCTCCGAAGGCCTGTGAGGCAGGTGGGTTCAGCTGGAGCAGAGGGAGCCAAGAGAGCTGAGGGAACCTTCAGTGAGTCAACTCGCCCACAACACCCCAGCCAGACCGGGTGGTTGGACAGGAAGAGGTGGTGATGCTTTCTAGCCCTGGGGACCCCACACACATCCACACTCACCTCCATTTCCCACCGCTCCCCACAATCTGGAAGCCTCCGCACAGCTGAAGAGTGACCTCCCCCGTGACAGCCTCAGGGGACTTTGCCGAGGGTTTCCCCTCAGACTCAGAGCCGATTCCCCCTGCCAGAGCCACCCTCGGAACACCTGGGCAGCCTGCACCCGGGGGCCCTGCTGTTCCGAGCTGCTGGGCACCCTCCATCCCTCCCCACCATGGCTGATGCCCTCGCCCACGGAGCTGACGTCAACTGGGTCAACACGGGTCAGAAGAACGCCACGCCACTGATCCAAGCCACAGCTGCTGTGAGCGTCCAGCCAGTCTCCCATCCCACCCTAAGTCACCTGGCCGTCTTCCCCACCCCTCCTGCACCTCATAGGGCGTGGTAACCGTTTCCCCATCCGTACGCTCCCTCATGAGGTCGCACTGGGGATGGAAGGTATTGAGAGTTTTCAGAGCCAGAGCAGAGCCTGGCACCTAGTTGTACCCCTAAACCTCTGATCCCATGCCCTGCTCTCCGAACTGTACAAACCTTTAAATCTGCCTCTACAGCTGCCACCCTCTCTCCCCTTTCTCTGCTTCTCAATGCAGAATTCTCTTCTGGCCTGTGAGTTTCTCCTCCAGAACGGGGCGAATGTGAACCAAGCGGACAGCCACGGCCGAGGCCCACTCCACCACGCCACCATCCTTGGCCACACTGGGTAGCACAGACAGCGATGATGGCCGTGGGGAGGAAGGTTCCAGACGGGATGAGCTGCTGGCTAACCCTGGCTTTTCTCTCTAGACTGGCCTGCCTGTTCCTGAAACGGGGAGCTGACCTGGGAGCTCAGGACTCTGAGGGCAGGGACCCTCTGACCATCGCCATGGAAACAGCCAACGCTGACATCGTCACCCTGTGAGGATACCTGAAGGGGCGGGACTAGCACCTTTCCCACGGGAGTGGCTAACTCCAGGAGAGATGCCTGGGGAGGGGCGTGGTCAGCTCCTGGCCGTGGCAGCAGACAGGATGCTCCCAAGTGCCGACTGGGAACTGGAGTAGCAGGGTGTGGGCAGGGTCCAAGGACAGTGAGCTCATCCTGAGAGTCAGTATTTGTCAACATTGTTGCCAGGCATCTTTTAATCACTAGGCCCTGGGCAAAGAGATGAATAAACAACCCAGCTCAATGGATGGGAAGCGGGGGTTGGGGGGAATGGCTGTCATTCATTCATTTATTCTCTCCTCTTTAGGCTGCGATTGGCAAAGATGAGAGAGGCAGAAGCAGCCCAGGGCCAGGCTGGTAAAGTACCCCCACCCCTGCTCCATCAGGCCCTTCACTGTAACTCTGGCTTCTGGCCCCTGGTGACCAGCTTCATTGATTAAGTCTATTATCAACAATGCATTGGGCGTACTGGACACACTAGGCCTCAGAACAGAGGGGAAAAACAGACAAGCGTTAGCTCAGGTGTTTCCTCCCCACACACTCTGGCCAGGGCCACCCCACTGTCCCCAGCATCCTCTCCTGAGCTGGGGGCGCAGCCTTCGGGGCTCCCAACCCTCCCTCCCTCCCTCCCCTCAGGAGACGAGACGTATCTGGACATCTTCCGTGACTTCTCCCTTATGGCATCCGACGACCCCGAGAAATTGAGCCGGCGCGCTCAGGACCTGCACACGCTTTGATTCCAGGCCTTGCAGGGGAGGGCCTGCGACCGGCCTTCCTCACCACCGCCCACCGCCCTCACCCTGCCATTAAAGCCTCTGTGCTTTGATCTTCGCTTCATAGCTTTTATTGGGCGCCACCTGGACCCGCTCCACCCTAGGCTGTCAGGTGCTGTGGCTCCTGGGATGCGAGGGGATGGGTTTGTGAGATCGAATCACGCAAGGGACAACTCCGGGGTGGGGTGGGGGGGGCAGAGGGAGCCGTGGCCTCAGCCCTCGCACCGGGAGGCTCTGGGGCGGGGCTCGGGCTCCGGCGACGTGGCCAGACCCGTCGGGCAGAGGCGCGGTAGCCGCGTGGGCTGAGGCCGGCTTCCCTTAGGGGCGCTGGCGGCCGGCCGGGTGCAGACGCTGGCTCGGCCGCCCCAGCCCGGCGGCATCCCCGGAATGCCGCGGCTCAGCACCCGCCCCCTCGGGAATTCCCGGTGCAATAGAAGGGCGCCGGGCCCCCGCGCTGGGCCGCGCCTGCTTTCCCGGCGGCGGGGGTGGGCCTGCGCCGGCCTGCGGACGTGAGGCCCCGCACACCTGGGCCGGGTCGGCGCGGCCACATCCGGAGCGACAGCACGAGTCACCGGCCCCCGCCCCCGCCCCCGCCCCCGCCGGCCCAGCCGGTCCCCCGCGCCCCCGGGCGCCGCTCCGCTCCCGCCGCCGCCGGAGCCGCAGCCCGCGGGGGCGGGGCGGGCTGTCTCCGAGGGGGCGGGGCGGGCCGAGGGGCGGGGCTGCCCTTAAAGGAGCAGGGCGGCAGCCCCGGCCACTTCCTGGGGGCGGAGAGGCTGAAGCTGCAGCTGAGGCACCGGTCAGCTCCATCCGAGACTCTCGGCCGCTTCCAGCCAGTCCTCGCACAGTCGCAGCGGGATTTAGCGCATCCTCGCCCGCAGCCCCCCGAGGCACCGCCGCTGTCAGCTCCGGGAGCCCCGCCTCCATCTCCTGGGACCCGCGCTGGAGCCGGGCCACGGCCAGGCCTCCGACTGGCCCCAGGACCCCGGTGGGTCTGCCCACGGCGACGGCGATCCCCCGAGGACTCGGGAGCCGGACCCTCCCGAGGCGGCCTGGTGCTCGCCGTCACCTGCGGGCTGGACTCCGGAAGCCACTGTCTGCAGCCCACGGAGCGGAACCGCCGGCCGCCCACATTGGATGCGTCTGGACCGGACTTGCCTTCCTCTTGGGCTTCCCTGTGCTCCTTCCACCCGCTCTCTAAGCCTCTGGGGGCCCCTGTGCCTGGAAGCCACCCCTTACCACCGAGGTAGCGGGGGTGAGCCCCGAATCTTGCTGCCTTAGGCTCCAACCAGTGCCTCCCACTGAGTCCGAACCTTCCGACCCAAGTCTCCACACCCCCAGGAGGTCCTGCCTTTTTCTCTTCTGCTGTCTCCAGCACTCCCCAAAATTTCCCCTCCTCCTGTGTCCTCTTCACCCCCTTCCTTCGGGGGCCCCGTGACCCTGAATGTGGGGGGCACGCTCTATTCCACCACTTTGGAGACCCTGACCCGCTTCCCGGACTCCATGCTGGGGGCCATGTTCAGGGCCGACACCCCCTTCCCCCCCAACCTCCGCTCCCAGGGAGGCGGCCACTACTACTTCATCGACCGCGATGGCAAGGCCTTCCGGCACGTCCTCAATTTCCTGCGGCTGGGCCGCCTGGACCTGCCCCTGGGCTACGGGGAGACGGCGCTCCTCAAGGCCGAGGCCGACTTCTACCAGATCCAGCCCCTCCTGGACGCCCTGCGGGAGCTGGAGGCCTCCCAGGGCAGCCCCGCGCCCGCGGCCGCCCTGCTGCACGCGGACGTGGAGGCCAGCCCCCGCCTGGTGCACTTCTCCGCCCGCCGCGGCCCGCACCACTACGAGCTCAGCTCCGCCCGCGTGGACACCTTCCGCGCCAACCTCTTCTGCACCGACCCCGAGTGCCTGGGCGCCCTGCGGGCCCGGTTCGGCGTGGCCGCCGAGGAGAGGGCAGAGGGGGGACCCCACTTTCGTCTGGAGTGGGCCCCCCGCCCCACAGAACTCCCCGAAGCGGAGTACGGGAAGCTGGGGCTGCAGCCCCTGTGGACCGGGCGGCCGGGGCAGCGGCGGGAGGTGGTGGGCACCCCGGGCTTCCTGGAGGAGGTGCTCCAGGTGGCCCTGGAGCACGGCTTCCGGCTAGACTCCGTCTTCCCTGACCCCGAAGACCTGCTCAACTCCAGATCGCTGCGCTTTGTCCGCCACTGAGAACTCAGAACTGGGAGGACCACCCTGGGTTTGACTGTGGGGCCGGGTGGGGGTGTGTGTGGGGGGAAGGGGACAGCAAAGGGGACGAAGGCTCCCCTGCAGACCCTTCCTGGCTCTGCTCTGGGCCCGAGTCAGAGGTCCTATTGCACCTGACTGGAGCCCGCATGTGGGCAGGACTCCCCATCCCAAGCCCACTGTGGGCTCACAGGCGGTACGGAGGGGCGCTACCCCTGGGAGGGTGGCGGCTGCCCTGGCTCATTCTCACTGAGCCCGGGGGCCTCCAGATTCATTGGTTGGAGCTCGGTATGCAGGGGTCTGGAAAAGTGGGGGCACTTCTCTAAACGATGCAGGGACAGGCCTGGAAGGAAGGGGGCTGCTCTCATGTGGCTTCTCCTATAGCGGGTGGCCTGGCCGGGCCTGACCAGTGGCTTAAGAAGGAACATAGGGAGGGACATTCTTTGCTGTGTCCCCAGTCACCTACCGAGGGAGACAGAAAAGCTGCACCCACCCTAGGCCGGCAGGAGGGAGCCAGGAGGATCCCCATTCACTGTGGGGTGGAGCATCCCTCTGGAGACACAAGGTTTTTAAAGCATCTGGTACTGATGGTGGAGCTGGCCATGGGCAGGAGGGCAGCATCTTTTTGGACCTTGGCCCACCTTCCTTCATGTGTACGTGCGTGTCTGTGTGTGTCTGACTGATGTGTAAGTCCCCGACATCCGGGCGTCCACCTGTGTTGTGGGCGACGGTGTTTCTGTGTCTCTGCGTGTCCGGACCTGTTTGGGCACCAGGTGTGTCTGTGGGTGTGAAAATGAATAGTTTAACCACCAGGGGTGTGTATGTGTCTGCGTACACTTGCGTTCACCACGTATGCAGGAGGGGCCTGTTGGGATTTCGGTCGCTGGGATCTTCCTGGCCAGAGGGAAAGAGAAGTCACTGGGCTTGACGGGTCCTTGGAGACCTTTATAGAATTCTTGGTTGTTAAGGCAACCATGGGCCTGTTGCTAGGAGATGGCTGAGGAAAGACTCAAGGCTACTCGGAGCAGAGAGGAGCCGGAGAGGTTGGGAGGGCCGGGAGGCTATGGGGAGGGATGGGGTGTTTGCGTCCCCGAGGGGAGGAATATTCATGAACAACTTCTCTGGGGGAGTCGCTTATTATTTATCACTCACAAGAAGAAAAATAAAGTTGCTTTTGGAACCACACACTTGTCAAGGGTGCTGAAGGCCAGGTGGGGAGAGCTGTCTTCCTCTGCCCCTCTCCCGTTCGCACATCCCCGCCTCCTGGTCCCCAGGGCAGCGGTACTGTTCTGGAATGCTCTAGAACCTCCAACTGTTCTGGAACTCGGCGACTTTTAGGCAAAGGACTAGAACCAGGGTCACGGAGCCTCCCTGTCCCAGGCGGTGCCAGCGCCCCCAACGCCCCCCTGGCCTCATGTGGACGCTGGCACTAGCGGTGGCTCTCCTGGGGGCTGCCCAGGCCTGTCTCCTCTGCCGCCTCCCAGCGCACGGCCTGTCGGGCCGCCTGGCGTGGCTCTGCAGCCAGATAGAGGCCCAGTGGAAGGACTGCGAGGCCTCCTGGAACTTCTCCACCTTCGCCCTAGGTAAGCCCAGCCGCTCAGGGCCAGCTCAGCGAAGCCACACACACACACACACACACACACACACACACACACACACACACACCCCAAGCAGCGCAGTGCGTGGCTTCCCGCTGCGCCCTCAGCTGGGTCCTGGACGCCACGGCCCCTCCCGCTGGGAGGGCGTCTGTGGACAGTGGGAAAGTCCAGAAAGAATCTTCTGGGCTAATGAGGACATCACTGCTCCTTGCCCGTCCCCACAGATGAGGTGTCCATGAACAAAGTCACGGAGAAGACACACAGGGTCCTGAGGGTCATGGGTGAGGTCACTGGGGAGGGAAGGCACAACCCTGGGGCTTGGGTCGATGCCAAGGGGGGAGCTGGCAGGAGGGGGCAGGGAGGAGGGGGCAGGGAGAAGGGGCTGGCAGGAGGGGCAGGGAGGAGGGGCAGGGAGGAGGGGCTGGCAGGAGGGGGCAGGGAGGAGGGGCAGGGAGGAGGGGCTGGCAGGAGGGGGCTGGGAGGAGGGGCTGGCAGGAGGGAGCTGGCAGGAGGGGGCAGGGAGGAGGGGGCAGGGAGGAGGGGGCAGGGAGAAGGGGCTGGCAGGAGGGGGCAGACAGAAGGGGCTGGCAGGAGGGGGCTGGGAGGAGGGGCTGGCAGGAGGGGCTGGGAGGGCAGGGAAGGGTGGAGGGCAGGAGGAGACAGAAGGGAGTGACTGGGAGGTGCCGGGGGAAAGGGGTGGAAGTCAACACCTACTGTGAGGCCTCGGGCAAAATGGCTGCCCTCTGCCTCCCCAGAGATCAAAGGCTCCTTCTCCTCGCTCCCTCTCTATTGGCAATGGCTTCACCAGACCAGGCTCCCTGAGTACGACAGGGAAGGTACTGGCGGAGGAGGGGCCCAGGAGGCCTGGGGTCTGGGCAGAGGGTGTGGCTGAGGGCTCACCTGTGCCCACCTCCTCTCTCCTCCCAGCTCTCTGCAGCCCCGCCTGCTGTGAGTAGAGAAGGAACGGACCGAGGCGGGGCGTGGGCTCCCGGGACAGCCGGGCGCTGGCGGAGGGGGCGGGGCTCTGGGAGGGCGGCGTTGGCGCTGCCCCGCCCCAGCGCTGGACCCGCTGTCTCCTGCAGGGGGCAGCACCATCCTGTACAACTGCTCCACCTGCGTGGGCTTTGAGGTGCTCTGCTGGCCCCAGAAGCGCTGCTTCCCAGGTCCTCACCCCCACCCGCGGCCTGCCTCGCCTCACCCAGCCCTCTGAGCCCTGAGGCTCCCGGGGTTGAGGGGTGTGGCTCCCAGCATCTTTCCCTGTTCCCTGGGTTCCCCACAGGAAGCCACGATCTCCAGGAAGCCAGGATTCTGCTCCTCTGTGTCTTTGGGACCGTCCTGCTCCTGGGCGGCCTTAGCCTGGTGGTGGAGTGAGTGCGGGAGGCTGGGGGCAGGAAGCGGCTCGCTGCCTCTGACCCGCCCCGGACTCTCCACCACCCTTCCCTCCCAGTTTCCTCCCCTCCCCTTCCCTCCTCTCCCTTCCCTTCCTTCCTCTCCCTTCCCTCCTCTCCCTTCCCTCCCCTTCCCTTTTCTCCTTTCCCTTCTCCTCCCTTCCTGTTCCCTCCCTTCCTTCCCCTTCCACCCCATCCCCTCCCCTTCCCTTTCCCTCTCATTCCCTGCCTTCCCTTCCCTTCCCAGACCTCCCACCTCCATCTTCCCTCAGGCTCCACTTCCTTGAAGCAAAAAGCAACTTACGAAGATCCTAGCCTCCAGCTGTGAAGAGCGGTGCCCATAACATCCACGTAGCTTGGGGGGCGGGGGAGGTGTGAGGCCGCCAGCCCCTTCATTCCAGCCCCAAAGGGTCAGTTTTCCAGACTCTGAAACCCAGATGTCTCCCCGATCCTACTGCCAGAGGGCCCTGGGGCCCAGACGCCCACCGGTGGAAAGTTCCTCCCCTCCAGCCTCACCCAATCAGACAGGCCGTCAGCAATGCCAGGAAAAAGTCTACAGAAGGAAAGAATCCCCTCCACTCGCTCTCCCACACCCACACCCGCCGGCCTGTTCCCGTAAAGCGGGGGCTGTTTGCCCCAGACGCTCCTCCTGGCCCTCTGACTGATTGGGAATCCGGGAATGAGGATTCTGGAGAACAGCCTCTCTCTCGAGCAAAACCACATCAGTCAGTCCGCTGGCACGCTGTCCCTCCATTAACACGGTGAAGCCCGGCCTCCCTCAGGCTGCCCGCCTGCCAGGCCCAACTAAACGCGCTGTGCAATGGCCTCCGCCCTGCCTGCTCTATGTCTGCGCCTGGGGTGGGAGGGCAAGAAACTTAGGGGAGCACAAGGGGGCGATTTTGCACCCCATGAGACATTTGCCATGTCTGGAGCCATTGTTGATTGCTTTGACTGGGGGGATAGGCTACTGGCACCGAGTGGGCAGAGACCAGGGAGCCCTCCACCACTAGGAGTGATCCAGTCAAAATGTCACTAGTACGTGGCAAGGAAATCCTGATTCAGAGGCAGTGAGGCCGCTTCCTGCCCTCCCGTGGCTGTCAGAAGTTTTGGTCTGGGAGATGGGAGGTGGGACATGAAAGAGAGGCCTAGCCCTAGATGGTTTAGCCCAGTGGATAGAGCATCAGCCTGCAGACTGAAGGATCCCAGGTTTGATTCCAGTCAAGGGCACATGCGAAGGTTGCAGGCTCAATCCCCAGTAGGGGGTGTGCAAGAGGCAGCTGATCAATGATTCTCGTCACTGATGATTCTATCTCTCTCCCTTCCTCTCTGAAATCAATTAAAATATTTGGGGGAAAAGAAAGAAAGCAAAGAGAGGCATGTCACCAAGCACAGGGCCTGGGCCTGGAAGGGGTCCCAGCCCTCACCGACTTCAGTGGTTTTCAAATTGGATACTTGGAGGCTCCAGGGTCAAGGTTCTCAACCAGCTGCACCTCAGTCACCTGAGAAGCTTTAAAAACCACCCATGCCTGGACCTCATCTTCAGAGATTCTGAATTCAGTGGCCTCCTATGGGCTCATCTCACGTACAGCCAGGTTTTGGGGTTACCAAGGAGGTCCTGGGATGGGAAGAAGCATGCCTACCCCTTCCAGGAGAGTACCACCCACGTTGTTCGACATGTTCTAGTCCAATGCCACCATTTTACACACAAAATGAGACCCAGAGATCTCACAGCAAGATTACACAAACTTGCCCAAGATCATGCAACAACTGGTTCATCCATTCATTTGACCCACACTTAGTGAGTGCCCACCAGGTGCCAGGCAGCGTCACTTCCCAGCGGGGATGAGAAGCGCAGTCCTAACTGCCCAGGGACACCCCCCCCCTCCTCCCGTCTGCGGTAGCTGCCTCCCTCCCTCCTGTGCTGTACCGCTGTCCCCAGGCTCAGCATTTTGGAGTTGTCCTTATGTTCACACCCAACATGCATAGGTCAACCACTTCTGCCCGTTCATGAAGGACCTCTACCGGATCTGTCCCCTCCTCCTGCCCCATGGCAACCAGGCCCCTTCTAGAACCCTCTCCCTGTGGACGTGTCTCCAAGATATGCCATCTGACTTTGCCCGCTTCCCTCAAATACTTTGTACCCTCAGTACAAAGGCCACACTGGTCTCAAAACTACGCATGCTCACAACCTTCTGTCCAACAGCAAAAGATAGTTAAGAATTTGGGCTTTGCCCTAACTGGTTTGGCTCAGTGGGTGGAGCGTCGGTCTGCGGACTCAAGGGTCCCGGGTTCGATTCCGGTCAAGGGCATGTACCTTGGTTGCGGGCACATCCCCAGTGGGGAGTGTGCAAGAGGCAGCTGATTGATGTTTCTTTCTCATCAGTGTTTCTAGCTCTCTATCCCTCTCCCTTCCTCTTTGTAAAAAAATTAATAAAATATATTTTTTTAAAAAAAAGAAAAGAAAAGAAGAATTTGGGCTTTGTCTCAGAGGGAAGGCAGGGGAGGGTGGGTGTGTGGGAAGTCTTCAACCAAGAACCTTGTCTGCATATACGCATGGCCCATGGTCACGGACAACGGGACCCTGAGGGCCTGGGGTGGGTGGGAGTGGGCTGGAGGGGGTCAATGGGGGGCATGTATATTACTTTCAACAATGAAAAATTAATAAAAAAAAAAGAAAAAAGAACTTGGGCTTTGGATTGAGCTTCCGATCCTGGCTCTGGCTCTTAGTGGGCCTTGGGCAAGTTATCTAACTTCTCGGTTCCTGTTTCTTTACATTTTAAATGCAGATCATGTGTTTCACTGAGTCTATGGCCTTATTTTTCCTGTTTTCATTTTAACATCTCTGAAGAATCCATCTTAAACTGAAGACATACAATGGTATATACACAACTGGTGGTTTCTTAAATTCCACGAATGCAGAAGTATTTACCTTATAGGATGACTGTGAGGTCCATATAAAATACTTGGGACTGTACCCAACATGTAATGAGCCCTCATTAATCATCAGCCATTATAATATCCTAGTTAAAACTTCCCTTCGCTCTGAAACCGGTTTGGCTAAGTGGATAGAGCGTCGGCCTGTGGACTGAAGGGTCTCGGGTTCGATTCCGGCCAAGGGCATGTGCCTTGGTTGCGGGCACGTCTCCAATGGGAGGTGTGCAGGAGGCAGCTGATAGATGTTTCTCTCTCATCGATGTTTCTAACTCTCCCCTTCCTCTCTGTGAAAAATCAATAAAATATATTAAAACACACACACACACACACACACACACACACACCAAAAAAAAAAAAAAGAAAAGAAAGAAAAGAAAAGAAAAAGAAAGAAAGAAAAGAAAACCTCCCCTCACTCTTCCTTGTCTATAGACTATAGACCTCGGTCTGGCTGACGTGGCACAGTGGGTGGGCATCGATCTATGAACCAAGCGGTCATGGTTCCATTCCCAGTCGGGGCACATGCCTAGATTGTAGGCTTGGTGTTCAGTATGGGGTGTGCAGGAGGCAGCTGATCAATGATTCTCTCTCATCATTGATGTTTCCATCTTTTTCCCTCTCCCTAAGAATCAATAAAAACATTTTAAAAATATATTTTATTGATTTTTACAGAGAGGAAAGGAGAGGGATAGAGAGCCAGAAACATCGATGAGAGAGAGACATCGACCAGCTGCCTCCTGCACATCCCCCACCGGGGATGTGCCCGCAGCAGCCAATGTACATGCCCTTGACTGGAATCGAACTTGGGACCCTTCAGTCCGCAGGCCGAGGCTCTATCCACTGAGCCAAACCAGTTTTGGCCAATAAAAACATTTTTAAAAAGAAAAGAATATAGACTTGGCCCTTGACCCTGGCATTCAAGGCTCTTTATCGGCAAGCAGCTCCCCTGTCTCATTGGTCCTCAGGGCAGACCTGTCCAAACACATATCAAACCGGAATCTCCACTCGGATGCCTCACAGGCATCTCCTACCCCACATCCCACACTGCCCTTCCTTCCTGACCCTCCACTCCCCCGCCCTATGATCTCTCCCAGGCCTAATGGCAGTGCCAGCGGACCATGGGCATGCTCTGCCTTCCATGCCACGTGCCTACTTCTCACCAGTACGTGATCTGCCTGTGTAATGCTTCTTGGAACCTGACCCCAGCACGTCCCTGGTGCCTCGCCCCTCAGCTCTGTCCACCCCACAGCACTCTGAGTCACTCACAGTCGGCCAACACTGTTGTCTCATGTTTCCTTGCCTGTGCCCGGGCTTGTTCCTACCCCTGGGACACCCTTCTCCTCTGGCTCAGACACCGCTTTTCCTTTTCCGGGGAAACCTCTGAGCCCCCGAGGCAGGGTGGACTGTCTGCATGTGGCACCTATTACATCAGCTGGTGGTGTTTCTTCACACAGCCACGCACCCCCTGTAAGGCCACTGATTCAAGTTCTCTGTCTTTGTCCCCCCGGGCCTGGCACCCGGGAGACTCTAGGAAGCACCCTGACAACTCCAGCCCCTTCTCTGAGCCCCTGTGACGTGCCCTCCCCAAGGGATCTCCTCCTGAGCACGTAGCACAGGAGGCTGGTGGCGTCTGTGTTTCTTTTCTGAGCACAGAAGGCCAGCTCACCCGGGCGTGGCCTCCCAGGGCAGGCCTGGTTTTTCTGAGCCCTTCACATACATGGGAGGCTGCTATAGGCATTTTATTTTATTTTTTTAATGTATTTTATTGATATATATATATATTTAAATATATTTTATTGATTTTTTACAGAGAGGAAAGGAGAGGGACAGAGAAACATCGATGAGAGAGAATCATCAATCAGCTGCCTCTTGCACACCTCCTACTGGGGATGTGCCCGCAACCAAGGTACATGCACTTGACTGGGACCGAGCCGGGACCCTCCAGTCCGCAGGCTGACGCTCTATCCACTGAGCCAAGCCGGTTTTGGCTTTTATTGATATATTTAATATCAATATATAGAGAGAGAAAGGGAGAGAGCCAGAGAGCCAGAAACATCGATGAGAGAGAGACATCGACCCCACTAGGGAGGCACCTGCAACCAAGGTACATGCCCCCCAACAGGAATCGAACCTGGGACCCTTGAGTCCGCAGGCCGACGCTCTATCCACCGAGCCAAACCGGTTCCGGCCTGCTATAGGCATTTTAAATAACGGCCCCCATGCTCTCTCACATGCCTCTTAGACAGAGGGAGCACTTAGGTATCCTACCCTTGAACCTGGGCTTCTTGTCTGGCAAAGTGATGCTGGGCCACTTTCCGGCCTCAGGCCTGAAGAAATCGGCACCTTCTGCCCTCCGCCTCTCGAGGTTCTCACCCTGGAGCAGA